TTAATTCCATATGGAATTAGTTTATTTGGTAGGTTAAGTCCAGATACAACTAGTTCATTTATTAGGTAGAAGAACCAAGGTATGAATACAAACATTTATATAGTGCAAGTCCAGGTCAAACTAGTTTGTTAATTAGTCAGAATATCCAAGATATAAATAAGAAACATTTGTATAAGTCTAGATCCGACTATTTTATTCATTAGTTAGAAGAACCAACTTATTAATAACAAATGTTCGGACAGGTTAATTCCAGATGGAATTAGTTTATTTGGTAGGTTAAGTCCAGACCTAACTACTTTATTTATTAGTTAGAAGAACTAAGGTATAAATAACAAATATCTGGTTAAGTTAAGTCCAGATCCAACTAGTTTATTAATTAATTAGTTAGAAGAACCATGGTATAAATAAGAAATATTTGGATATGTTAATTCCAAATCCAACTAGTTTATCTTTTACTTAGAGGAACCAAGGTATAAATAACAAACATTTGGATGGGTTAAGTCCAGATCCAATTAGTTTATTAATTAATTGGTTAGAAGAATCAAGGTATAAATAACAAATATTTGGTTAGGTTAAGTCGAGATCCAACTAGTTTATTCATTAGTTGGAAGAACCAACTTATAAGTTACAAATATCTATGTAGTGTAAGTCCAGGTCCAACTAGTATATTAATTGCTATTGCACTTCTTTCAGAGTTGCATACTTATTTTGTAAAAATAATTTTCACTTTGTAGTGTGATAAACTCCACCAACTCTGAAAGTCTCACACACGTTGTTCAAGGCTTATTTCTGTTTCCAATTTCTCCAAAAATTCTCCCTTCCCACACCTATGTTTTATCATATCTGCATTTGAATTACATGTGAGAAAAAAAAAACGTGATGATAACACCAGTCTGAGTGAAAATAGTTATAAGTGATGTCCATATATTTATATGAAAATACTGAATTTTAAATACACACATTATGAGAACTGTGCATCTCTTTGAACAACTCTCATTAGTGCTCAGTCTGATGCTTAACTGTTTTGAGAAAGTATATATTCTCAAACAATATAAATTATGAGCGAAAAGGGATAGTTTTGATATGGATCACTTTCTTTGACAGTACAATCAACTTAAATATGAAGTTTCAAGTCATGTGGCTAATTACTCAGACAATATGTGGATTGCTTACTTTTCCTGACAATATTTTCAGTCTGATTGAAAATGGTTACATATAATGTTGCTCTTTTTTTCCTGACAATTAATAAACAAAGACAAGATATTGATTGAATGAGAAATAACTTACTTTTAACAATGACATAAGCTTCTATATATACTTCTTTGATATATATGTCCTATATATTATACACAATTACTACTATATGTCTTATACACAATTACTACTTCTTGTTCTTACCTTTTGATTCTTTGCTTTGAACAAATTAATCAACTTTTATTCAAGAAATTCTTTGTTGAAGAGGTTTACAGAAATTTGCAGGATTAGTGTTGTGATTACGTAGAGAAATCAGCTTGAAATAAGAGGCTGACAATATTAAAATATAATCATTTCCATTTTCATAATTACTGACATCATACTGTTCTTTGAGGATACATTACTTAGGAAACCATAATTACAAAGATAGTAAAAAATCATATAGTTACAGTAATGTTAGAAATACTTGTGAAGTAGAAAGGTTCTCCAAGTTTTGTTTTTTAATATTAAACAAAGACAAAAGAAATATGTTTTTAAAGGAGATAAAGGAAGTATGCATTGAAAAATCTTCTGAAGGAGATAAAAGAAGTAGACACCAAGAAATATGACTTTTGAAGGAGATAAGAGAGTATGCATTAAGAAACAATTTTGGAGGAGATTAAAGAAGTATGCATTGAGAAACACGACTTTTGAAGGAGACAAAAGTAAACACTGTAAAATATGGATTTATTAACTTGTAAAAATTTATTCACCATCAATAAAAGATGATACCAGATTAATAAGAACAACATAATATGTCTTCTTATGTATATTTCTCTTTTCCTTTGGAGGTTAAAAAATATTTCATATTTGCCCTTTTATCCCATTATTGAAACATTGTATGAAGAGAAAATTTACATATTTTCTAGCATACTTATTTTGTGAAAGCATCAAATGTTTCTATCTAAAGTTTAATAATATTTAAAGTAAAAACAAAAAAATCATTTTTTTATTGTCCCAATGAAATCACAACACTAGGTACATACATTACATTTTGCAAATAATCTTTCAACTTAGCAAAAGCTACAGAACTAGGAATCTTTACCAGCATAGAAGTTTTTAATACATTTTTGTAATTGTTGGATTACTAGCTGGTCCACACTCTTCTCTTGTTTGAGGGT